AAAAAAAAAAAAAAAGAAAAGAAAATGAAATGAGAGCTCCTAAAGGGAAGGGAAGGCCACCCTGAGGGAAACACCACTTAAACGATGAGAAGGAGCCAGCCATGGGAGGATCCCAGGAGAAGGAAGAGCAGGTTTAAGCCCTGAAGCACCATGGAGCTGGGAGTGCTCCAGATGGAGCCGAGGGGGAGCCAAGAAAGGGCAGCGTCAGTGAGGTGAGGGATGGAGGCCAAGGCCAGGTCACCCAGTGCAGAACCCATTAGAGAATTTTAAGCAAGTAAGTGACCTGATTTTAACATTTTCCAAAGATCCCTTTTATTGGAATGCCTGGGTGGCTCAGTCAGTTAAGCATCTGCCTTCCACTCAGGTCATGATCCCGGAGTCCCGGGATCGAGCCCCACATCAGGCTCCCTGCTCAGCGGGCAGCCTGCTTCTCCCTCTGCCTGCCGCTCCCCCTGCTTGTGCTTGCTCTCTCTCTGACAAATAAATAAATAAAATCTTAAAAAACAAATGTCCCTTTTATTATATGTGGAGCCTGTATTGAAGGGGAGTGGACAGAGAAGCAGAGAGTTTTCTAAGAGGAAGCCACTGGAGTTGTCCAGCTGAGCAATGACGGTGTGCGAGTAGAAGGATTCACCATGGGATGGAAAGAGCGAAGAACCTCACATTTGTTTCTGAGGCAGATGGACAGGGTTTACTTGCTGACTGTGGACTCTAACTCCCTGGTCAGATGCAACTAACTGTATACACTATAGCTAACAGTTATTGGGCATTTACTGTGTTAAAGTGCTAAAATATCTTATTTCATCTTCAAAACAGCCCCCATGAAGTGGGTACTTTATTACCCCTATCTTACAGGTGGGAAAACAGGCCCAAAGCAGGAGGCAGAACTCAGAGCCCGGGTGTGACCACCTCCATAGCTGGCACTGTAACCGGGGGGTTCTGTCCCCCAAGGTGGGGCTGGCCTACCTCACAGAAGTAGTGTTCTTCATGCCTATGGGAGCTTGCAAGACTATGTGGCCTTTCGAGAACCATGTTTTTTCTGCCCTCTGGCCCTCTACACCTTCTAACAACCAGCACGTGCGAGGAAGGCTCCCAAGCATCAAGGAGCTGCAGCCCCGCCCCACCCCGCCCCACCCCACCCCCCAGCCGAGGATGGCTTTGAAATACTGCAGATTGGCGCTCAGCCTGGCTAGGGCTGGCCTGAGGGACCAGCACACCTTTCGGGGAAAAAAAAAAAAATAGATACCGAGGATTTTTTTTCATTTTTTAGGAACCTCTGCTAACCCAGAGCAAAGTATCTAGAACACAACTCAACTTATCTTTAAGGGATGATTTTATCATTTTATCAGTCCTTAAATGGTTCAAACTAGAAAATTCACTGTCTTTTTTTTATAGCACTGATATTTGACTAGCGAACATTACAATTCATACAGCATATAAAATATGGAATTATGGGGCACTTTCTAAAATATTTTACCTTATTTTATTAAATTAGCCCAAAGAATGTGTATCAAATTATAAAGCAACATTATAGTTCCTACCTACTTTCTACTTGACGCCAGTCGCACTGAATTTTGAATACAAGTCAGAATCTTGTTTTTAAAAGGTGCTGTTAAATTATGACAATCCAAAATATTTTTCATCTCCTTAAGTATAACCATTATGGCAATGTGTAAAATCTCATTTTTCTTTTTAGCATGGCACACACTGAAACACAGAGGGCACTCGATACCACTTCTTAAACCTAATTACAATAGAACTTGAAAAAAGCAGCTCTTGTATTTGTATGTTTAAATATGACTGATCCACAAATACACGTATGAAGGAGGATAATCTTAAATAGCTCTGTATGCAAAGTACCAATTGGTAGATCTCTGAGAATTTCCTGAAGACCTAACCACATCCCAGTCATGCAGGGCCTGGCTCTAATCTGAGGGAAAATACACCACTCTCTCCCTCCCCACAGCAACACTCAGTTCACACTCAGCTCTGATTCCAATCCCTGGTCTCCCTCAGTTTGTCCTCTCCTGCAGCACATGGTTCCTGACTCACAACCCCCTTCCTCCCTTCCAGCTCTTATCTCTGCCAGCCTACCCTAGGGAGAGCTTTGGACCCCGACCAGCTCATCCTCTTGGATCCCACATCTTACAGCTCACTGTGGTCTAACCTGACACTTCAGATTCTAACCTTTGCTGTCTCCTTCCCTATAAGAGCCCATGCTCCCTCCTTACTATTTTATCAGAAGCCCCATTGAGACCTCTTGCACACTGGCCATGTTCAATCATCTTGGCCAATTCCTGGACCTTTTCCATCCTAAGATTATGGCTTTTAACAACCTAAAAATGTTGCAAAGTAAACTTATCCCATATCGATCTGAGGAAGAACATGAATTCCAGAACCAGATCACCTGGGAGTAATCATGGGTAAGTTATATAACCTCCCTGTGCCTCAGTTTCCTCATCTGTAAAATGGAAATAATATCAGTACACCCATCTCCTAGGGTTTTTGTAAGAATTAAGTGAAAACATAGGGCGCCTGGGTGGCAGAGTCAGTTAAGCATCTGACTCTTGGTTTCAGCTCAGGTCATGACTCAGGGTCGTGAGATCCAGCCCTGCGTAGGGCTCCATGCTTAGTGCAGAGTCTGCTTAAGATTCTACCTCCCTCTCTCTCTGCCCCTCCCCCCACCGTGCACACACCCACGCACGCTCGCTCGTGTGTGTTCTCTCTCTCTCTCTCAAATAAATAAATAGGTAATTTTAAGGAGGGAAAAAAAAAGAACTAAATGAAAACATTTGTAAAGCCTTTAAACAGGGTTAGTTATTACCATTGTAATGTAAAATTTGGTTTAGGATAAACAAGTCCTTACATAATGAGGGAACCTGGACGAAAAGCTCACATCAAAATAGTGTCTTTAAGCTTTCTAATTCTTAACTGTGGAGAAGTTAGCAAAACCACCAACAGCTTGCCTCGATTTGCATTTAACCCATTCCTTCCAAAAAAATAAATAAATAAAACACTTAGGAGTTGGGAAGTGTTGACTTGATTTTTAGATTATACTGAACAAGGGTAGGTTTTTTTTAGCATTTTGCATAAACCATTCTAATCCTCATGAGTTTGAGGGGCAGCAGGTCTCCCAAACTGTGTAGACAGATAAACTCAGCCACAAAGAGATTTTGCTAGAAGTCCCCTAACATGGAAGCGCAAAACTGAGCCTGTAACTTTGGGTGGCTGGCTTCTGAAGTATTTGAGGAACTCAAACTTACGTTATTATTATTAAAAATGTTGTTGTTTTTGTCTAAGTATGGACATTAAGCACATGAACTCTGGGGTGAGGCAGTGAGTTCAAATCCCAGCTCTGCCACTCACTTGCTATGTGACCCTGGGCAAGTTAATTAACTTTTCTGTGTCTCAGTTTCCTCATCTGTAAAAACAGGAGGGCAATACTAACACTGTGAGCATTAAATGAGACATTAGGTATAAAGTGCTTAGAACACTGCCTGGCACATATAACTGCTCAGCTAATGACAATTGTTGTTATTTGCAAGGTGTAGACACAAAGCATCTGGTGTCTGTGAACAGTATCAGCCTCTCTAGGAGTCAGGGGACAGTAACCCACCAGTGTGGCATCTTCTGATGCCCTCCTGTGCCCTCCTAACTCCCACCTACCTGACACTTTAAATGCACTGAGAAGGTACCCACCCTATGATGCCCCAAGTGTGTCTGTACAGACTGTCTTCCCTGAACAGGGAATTCCTTGAGAAGAAACGCCCTGACCTCCTCTGTTTCCTCAGCCACAGAGCTGACGCCGGCACCAACAGATACTCCATAAATGTGTGATGAATAAATGAACACTCAGTCCTCTTGTCAGGTCCCTTCTTAAAATACAAACCCCTCTAGACGCTAACTCCTTAACATGTTAGCAGCAATTAGTGACAATTAGCTGCAGGAAGAAGGGTGACAGCTTCCCACGGCTTGTACTTGTAGCACATTTCAACACCATCTAGTCCTACAATCACACAGCAAAGACAAATCGGTCTATACTGAAATAAGGTCTAGAGTGGACTCTCCTTAAAAAAAAAAAAGAAAAATTTACAGATGAAAGTATATTTCTAAAATGCTTACCTTGCCTCATAAATGAAAGGGCTTTTTCTTTTAAGTTTTCTGTCAGTTGTCTCTTTTTAGTCAGGTAATCCAAAACATAAATATTGGGAGCAAAATTTATCATGTTCTGTTCACCACAGCCATAAGGCATCCGAATCAATGAGGCTAAGCCATTGATGGAAGAACCGAGGATATCTCCTGAAAGCACAAGATATTCGATACAATCAGCAAATAGTCCTGGTGCCCAGGAGACTTCTGCAGAGTACAGAAGGTGGCTGACATTGAAGCGATGATTATTCCACTGCTTGGAACAGACGACAGACTTTACGTCAAGCTCTTAGGAAGACTGGTCAAATAAATAGCTGACAGCACAGTGGCACCAAACTCATAGATGATGGGACAAATCAGACTTTTAGCTCAGGTGAAGATGGGGCATACGCTAGGCAAAAAAATAAGCTTAAAAAATCATTCTTCAACAAAAATGTCAGGAATAGACCATTAGGAAACCATCATTTTTATATAGGAAAGAAATGTTTTATTAGTAGTATTCTTCACATAACTAGAACTTCACTCTGATTTCTTACTAATACACTACAAACACTTGAGAAATGATTTTTTTTCACTCTGATTTCTTACTAATACACTACAAACACTTGAGAAATGATTTTTTTTTTTTTAAGGGCAAGGATTGTCGTATTTTTCAATGTGTTCTCTTTAGCAAAAACAAAGTAGAATTAACACATAAAAGTAGTTCAATGAATCTCAGGATCAAAAAGGATTAGGAATATTCTTCAAAGTTAGTAATATACTATTAAACAACATTCCTGTTTAAAAGACACCTCAGGGCACCTGGGTGGCTCAGTCGTTAAGCGTCTGCCTTCAGCTCAGGTCATGATTCCAGGGTCCTGGGATGGAGCCCTACATCGGGCTCCCTGCTCACTGGGAAGCCTGCTTCTCCCTCTCCCACTCCCCCTACTTGTGTTCCCTCTCTCACTGTGTCTCTCTCTCTCTGTCAAATAAATAAATAAAATCTTAAAAAATAATAATAAATAATAAAAGACACCTCTAGGGGCACCTGGGTGGCTCAGGCTGTTAAGCATCTGCCTTCCGCTCAGGTCATGATCCTGGGATCCAGCCCCGCATCGGGCTCCCTGCTCAGCGGGAAGCCTGCTTCTCCCTCTCCCACTCCCCCTGCTTGTGTTCCCTCTCTTGCTGTGTCTCTGTAAAATAAATTAATAAAATCTTTAATAAATAAATAAATAAATAAATAAAAAGAAGACACCTCTACCCACATTCTAACACTATGACTCAGGGAAACAAGTAAAACTTCAGAAATACAGAGGCTGAGTTCTAATTCTGACCCCACTGTGAGGGGCGCCTGGGTGTTCTCAGTCAGTTAAGCCTTTGCCTTAAGTGTCTGCCTTCAGGCTCAGGTCATGATCCCGGGGTCCTGGGATCGAGTCCCACATCAGGTTCCCTGCTCAGCTGGGCGTCTGCTTCTCCCTCTGCTGCTCCCCCTGCTTGTGCTCTCTCTCTCACACACACAAATAAATAAATAAAATCTTTAAAAAAAAAATCAAGAGTATTTCAATAACCAAAGTTATTTGAGTATTTCAATAACCAAAGATAGACTCATTCCAATGTAAGGAGTGGTGGAATACATTTGAAATTCAAGGCTTCTTCCCTGTGTGTGTGTGTGTACTGGATCCCCCCATGTGTATGCTGCACCTCCCAGCATCCCAACACTATAGGAGAATTCATTCCCCTGAGTAGAGAGCTTATTTAATTCTTCTTAAGAATTATACCTAAGGCTCCCAAAAAGTCCTCTACAGAGGGACTGGTTGGTTGAGTTATAATGGAGAGCATTACACCTATGAGTGTAATGAGGAGATTTAAAAGAATCTCTAAAAAAGTGCCTTAGGTCCTGACATCTTGAAAACCTAACAAACTATTTAGATTCATTAATCTTCATTAATCTAAATATTTCCTTCAGTTATTTGTGAAGCACAGCTATATAAACAAATCGTTTGTGTGGAAGCTATGTTTAACAATTAATGAAAAAATACTTTTGGGTTGCCAGAAGGTGACTAGGAGAGGGTGAAGTCATTGGGCTGCTTCCTGCTGTAAAGGTTATCTGCCTCCCTCACAGAGAACTGCTCTAGGCAACAGTACTCAACCTTTGGTCATCAGAAGCACTTGTGAAACCTTTTCAAAATATACACACCCTAGCCAGAGCTTAAGAAATTCTGATTGTGGGGGTGCCTGGATGGCTCAGTCGTTAGGCGTCTGCCTTCAGCCCAGGTCGTGATCCCCAAGTCGGGCTCCTTGCTCAGCAGGAGGCCTGTTTCTCCCTCTCCCACTCCCCCTGCTTGTGTTCCCTCTCTCGCTGTGTCTCTCTCTCTCAAATAAATAAATAAATAAATAATCTTAAAAAAAAAAAAAAAAATTCTGATTGTGTAGGTTGAAAGTGGAACCTGTGTTTTTACAAAGCTCCATAGAAGATTCTGATTATGTACCCGAGGTCAAGAGCCACGGAGGACAGAAGCTCTGCTCTTAGAAATAACCCCTCCCTCCAGCCACATTATAGTGGGTCCTGCTACCCAAAGAGTGGTCTATCCACCGGAAACATCAGCATCAACTGGGAGCTTGTTAGAAATACACAACCCAAGGCCCCACCCCAGGCCTACTACACCAGCATCTTCCTTTAAATGAGATGCCCACATGAGTCAATGCACACTGCGATTAAGAACTGGCCTAGGACACATATCTGCTAGTCTTTCTATTGTAATCATCAGTTGGTACCAACTAAAAATTTTTGCAACCTCTTCTCATTAGGACTAAATAAGAAAATACATCTATAAATAGATTTAAAAGTACATGTATAGTCATATACTAATAAACCAGTAGTGATGGTGATATACTGTATTCTTACCAATTGCAGTGATCTGAACTCGTTCACTACCACTCACTGTGTTGGGAGGAAATGAGAAACTCAAAGTTTTCAGGGGAGTTTGTAACTTGTTGTCAGTCAAGTCTAACAAGATAGATTGTGAAAATGATTTTTCTATTCCTTCAGCCTGTTGGAAAAAAAGGAACACGATTAACATCATCTCTACTCATCTGTTTACAAAGAACTTTATGCAAATAAGATAAACATCTTGCCTGTTGTGTCCGCAGTATGTGTACAATTAGATAAATACCTACTGTTTTTGATTCCTGCTTCAAATCTGTTAATAAATGTTTACTTTCTAGTTAAAGTAAACAAAACATTTCATGAAATGGCAATTGAAATGACAAAGGAGAAGATGCAAAGGTGATGAGAAAAACCCTCTGAGGTAAATCATATTATTATCCAAAGAGAGATTAAATATCTTGTCCAAAGTCACACTTGACAGACCTGGGATTTGAACCTAGGGCTGTCTCCCCCCAGAACACAAGTGTTCATCCACTAGGCTGAGTTGTCTTTTTCTGCATAATACCTTCTCTAAAAAAAAAAATCTACAGGGCGCCTGGGTGGCTCAGTTGGTTAAGCGACTGCCTTCGGCTCAGGTCATGATCCTGGAGTCCCGGGATCGAGTCCCACATAGGGCTCCCTGCTCAGCAGGGAGTCCGCTTCTCTCTCTGACACTCTTCCCTCTCGTGCTCTCTATCTCTCATTCTCTCTCTCTCAAATAAATAAATAAAATCTTTAAAAAAAAAATCTACAAAATCTCTTCTAACTGTATTGAGGAATTCCAAAATTCAAAATCTACATATCAACTTGGCATGATTTAACAGGACCCCAATGTAACAGTTGCTAAATGTAATTGACGGCAAAAGAGATTTGCTATATGGGCATACCATAAAATTAAAGAGGAAATTGGCAATTACTTCCAAAACCATACTATATATCTTTACATACAGATGAGAAAACAGTCAGACAATACCAGGAGGATGGAGGAGATGACCTACTAGATCTTGCCAACAAATTTAACCAAGAGAAAAACCATCTTTTGTTTCAATTATGTATTTCTGTTTCACTTATTCCAGACTTCAAATATTTACCTTTACTAAAATCCTCTGGGTGACAGCATCAGAAGCAGCAGGTGAAACGGCTGTGACTGTGATAGGAATTTCCCCCAGATGCGTGGGCTTGACCGGGAAAAGAACAGTTGCCCCATCCTCACTGGGGACCAGAATGGTCTGCTGGTGTCCTGTGGCATTTATTTCATTTGAAGCCATTAGAATATCAAATTTGTCACTTTTCTCAATGATTACTTTAACCTGGAAGGAAAATTATCAAAAGTTTTATATAATAAATGCTCCTCAGGAAAATGTTGTTTTATTACCACGTTAAGTACTGTTAAATCTGTGAGGTGCAAGACTAGAGAAAGATGAGACAGAGATGCAGCCAAGGACAGGATGAGAGCGTTATCAGGGAAAACTTCATTTCTCTATGCTCTCCTCCTCCACTCCTTGCCAACCGCAAGGAGCACAGAAAACCAGTGAGAAGAAGCAACACCTTCTAGATGCAAGGGGACTAGGAAAAAGTACAGGCAGGCGGGAAAGAGAAAGACCTGCCTCAGAGACAGCAAGGAAGTCATGCGCCTAAAGCGGAAAACCTGTGCTGGGAATGAAGAGAATGTATAGATGCTAATACTATCCTTAGACATTAATAAGTAGAAGAAATCGTACGTTTATTTTTAGTCTCTCAGAAATGTATAAAATGTTTAGATTCCCAGATACCCAAACATTAACAACCCAAGCCCTGTGCGTTTTCTCCATTCTTTCCTGAAGTGTGAATGATTAACAAAACCTTTAATATATTACCTCAGTGGCATCTTTCAAATAATTGAATATGGTTACTTCCAAAGCAAATTCTTCACCTCTGATAACAGAGTAGGGAAGATTCAAAAAAATGAAAAATGGTTGGAAGGCTTGTAGCTGGAAAGAACACAATGAATACATATTTTATTCAAGTCAAAATGCTTCACATTTCATGTAATTAAAAGCACATCTCACAAAACCTGTGAAGCTTATAATTCCACAGAGAAATGTCCACTTGCCTATCAAAGGAAAACAAACAGCCAACTTAGCCCAAGTCAGTGATGATAAATTGATGTGCTTTATGTTATTTAACTACATTTTATTAAGTGCCTACTAGGATCCAGGGACTTTATTTTTTTATCATTTTATTTTATTTTCATCATGATGCATGTACTCTTTAATCCCCATCCCCTATTTCCCCCAACCCCCCACCCATCTCCCCTCTGGTAACCATCCATTTGTTCTATAGTTAAGAGACTGTTTCTTGATTGTCTTTTTTTTTTCCTTTGTTCATTTGTTTTGTCTCTTACATTCCACATATGAGTGAGATCATATGGTATTTGCCTTTCTCTGACCAATTTATTTTGCTTTAGCATTATACTCTCTAGCTCTATCCATGTTTTTGCAATGGCAAGATTTCATTCTTTTTATGGCTGAATAATATTCCACATTATTATTATATATATACCACATCTTCTTTATCCATTCATCTATTGGTGGACACTTGGGCTGCTTCCATAGTTTGGCTATTGTTGATAATGCTACATGGGGGTGCATGTAACCCTTTGATTTAGTGTTTTTGTATTTTGGGGGTAAATATCCAATAATGTGATTCCTGGATCATAGGGTAGTTCTATTTTTAGTCTTTTGAGGAACCTCCACACTGTTTTCCACAGTGGCTACACCAATTTTCATTCCCACCAACAGTGCAAGAGGGTTCCTTTTTCTCCACATCCTCACCAAGACTTGTTGTTTCTTGTGTTTTTGGTTTTAGCCATTCTGACAGGTGTGAGGTGATATCTCATTGCGGTTTTGATTTGCATTTCCCTGATGATCTGTGATGTTGGGCATCTTTTCACGTGTCTGTTGGCCATCTGTATGTCTTCTTGGGAGAAATGTCTGTTCATGTCTTCTGCCCATTTTTTTAATTGGATTATCTGGTTTTGAAGTACAGAGTTTATCAGTTCTTTATAGATTTTGGATACTAAACCTTTATCGGATATGTTATTTGCAAATCTCTTCTCCTGTTCAGTGGGTTGCCTTTTAGTTTTGTTGATGTTTCCTTCACTGTGCAGAAACTTTTTACTTTGATGTAGTCCCAACAGTTTATAGGTACTTTACACAAATTATTTCACTTAATCCATACAACACCTATGAGGCAGGTTCTATGTTCGTATTTTACAGAAAAGAAATCTGAAGTTCAGAGATCTCTGTATCTAGGACAAGGTCACATCACTAGTAAATGAAGGAACCAGAAAAGGACCCCAGCATGTCTGATGCCAAAGCCAAGCTCCTCACCTACTACACTATTATGACTCCAGCCATCTGCTTTAAAAGCCACTGGCCAAATCCAACAGGCCCTGTTTGAGACTTAAGTCTAGATGGAAAGTCTAGATGATGTTCTGCTTACTACCTTCTAACATATATATGCGCATGTACTTTCTCATCGGTGACCCAGTTCTGAGATTCTTGGCCAAATCCTACAGGGAAGCTGAACCGCTACCCTGCCTCTGAAAATAAAACTTTATTAGTTTAGGCCAATGGCTGTCGCTGGCAGCAATAATTCCCCCTAGAGGTTTACTCAGACATTTGTGGCAGTGCCTTAGATTGTCACAATGACTGAAGGGTAGTGGGTGAAAGTCTGTGATGCTCTGGACAGTCCCAGACGATGAAAAATCGTCCCACATCCCTCTTGATTCTTGAATGTCTCTTCAGACATTCCCGTAAAGTACCTGCTTATAATGACCTGAACTTACAACCTAATTCCAACTTATATATAAACCCAAAGCATTTTTCAATACACAGTAAATTTTTCACAAATAGAACTATTTCATCAATCAACAGAAGACCGCACTCTGTTTAGTCTGTAACTCTACCAAAAGTTGTTCATGGTTTCAAAGACCGACATCACCACAGGCAGTACCGCTGAAGGTTTCTGAGTTGCTAAAACAATACGTGTATATCAAACTTCATTCGCAGCTGTTACACACAGGGTGATTCTAGGCATGGACTAAATACTTAAAGATTTATGCCTTCTAGTACAGCTATGTCTGACCACATATATAGTGTATTATATACTATTTTACTACACATTACTTTCCTTTTATTTCTCCTTACTATTTCACTTCAGGCATCATATTGATTTTTTAATTGAATATATAGGTACACCATATTTTCTATGAATTGCATTCCAGATGGTAAAGGGGAAAACAAAATATCTGTTATGAAAAGGGGGCTTCAGGTATGACAGAGGTGAGAGCTACTGGTCTAAGACCAAACATGCTCATTATATTCCTCTTGCCAGCGACAGGTTTAGGAAGTAACATGTGATGCAATTTGACCAGAAATGGGAAGGCATGTCTGCTAGGGTACATCTTGAGAAGGTCTGCCCATCCTCTCCAGAGGGAATACACAGAAACTCTCTCTCTTCTGGCCTTTGGAAATAGCTGGATTCAGTCAATAATAAAGTTTTTATCCAAATCTTCATATGGACGTAGCACATTAAGGAGTTTAATACAGCTCACATTTTAAAGTATGAAACCAATGAAAAACAAAAAGGAAAAGACACTAATCTCTCTAACTCTAAAGGAATCTCTAAACACTAATCAACATCATAAGCAATCATTTTTTAAAAATCCATTGAAGTGTTCACACTTCATCTCTAAAGGAATCTCTAAACACTAATCTCTAAACACTAATCAACATCATAAGCAATCATTTTTTAAAAATCCATTGAAGTGTTCACACTTCCTTTGCTCTGGGCACTTTAACATTTGCAAGCAGGTCTTTAATATACTACCTCCACTGGAGTACTTGTTAGTCCAAGACCTAAGTCTTCAGAGATCACGAAAGCAGTGGCTACCCAAGAAGTGATAGAATCAGGCACAGTAACTTCAAATTCTTGGTAAATCCTAGAACTGAAGTCAAGATAAAAATAAAAATCATAACACACCAAGGACTGACATATTTCAAAAAAGTCAACATAACCTAAACTATTTTTAGAAGTTTCAATTTTCCAAATTATTTACATATCTAAATTTTTTTAAGTAAGCATGAAACAGTAGACCCCAAATTCTCAAGGAATAGGTCACTTAGTAAGGCCAAAATACTGCATCCTGACCCATATTCCACTAAAAGCTTTCTATAATGTTTGTACCTTTAGAATGACCATTATTATCATAAATGTTGTATATAGATAACAAATATCTACTTTCAAACTTAACTCAATTTATTTCTGTCAATCTGCATAAAAGTTTCCCTCTGTATCTCGGTCAATGCCATTTTTTTTTTTTGAGGTTTGATTCGTGTCTTATTTCAAGTTTACACAAACGGCGGACTATAAAATATGTGAAGATTTCATGATTCATCTGCTCAGTCATCAGGCCAGATAGCTCAGGGTTTGTCAACTAAGCCAAATCCTCCCACCACCTGCACTCCTTCCTGTGGCTCACAGGGATGTCTGACAAGAAGCCACAAGGTAGAGAGAGTAAGTGTTTCCCACCCCAAGGCAATAAGCGTACTCTCAGCACTTTTCTCAAACAAAAACCATGGAACTTCAAGGAAGTTAAAAATACCCTTCATTAGAAGAATGTCGATCCTCTCCTTAATGATACTCTCACTGCCCCAGTTTGCATGTGGCTTTATTAAACACTACATATTTAAATACAATAAATATCATTCTAAAATGAAAACCTCTTGGTCTACTTCGTTGTTCAACACAATAGGTTTGTACCTCAACACTAGAAAGAACACAAAACTTATTTAAAACCAACACTAAAGAAAATAGGTATGAGCAAAGAACATTATAAATCTTTACCCCATGTTGGTGTCTAGCCAAATCCAAGTCTCTGGAAAATGCTTTCTGATACGTGGGTTGCTAACCGAAGAGAAGTCATGAAAATCTACCAAGTATCCTTCTGTTTCCTCTGCAAACCTCTCAGCAAATTCTACGCTGTCATCTAAAAATCAACATTGACAACTGTTAGGAAAAAAGTCACTGTAGAGGATGATTGTACTCTTAGTCCAGAGAACCACAACACCTCTCAGCTGAATGGGACTTCAGAGTTCATCTTATTCAACCGTCTCATTTTACGCTGAGATACCTGAGACCCCTTGAAGTCAAGTGACTTACCCAAGGCTCTGAAGCCAGTTACGGCAGCACCAAAACTAAAAAAAAAAAAAAAAATGTTCCCTGCCTGTACAACCAATACCTGAAAAACTACTTACAGTGCAGTTGCTAAAAAACAAGTTAAATCACATTTTTAAAGTTCCCTCCAATTTTGCTATTCCCTTTTTAGTTCTCTAGTGATCATTACCATTGGCTACACCAGCCACAAGATGCTCCATTCAGTTTACTAGCTTAAAAAAAAAGGTCACGTTGCCATACAGACTGACACATTTCCAAAAAAAGTCAATATAGCCTAAACCATTTTTGGAAGAGTTTTAATTCTCCAAATTGTTTACATATCTAAATTTTCTTAAAGTAAGCACAAAACAGTAGATCCCAAATTCTCAAGGAACAGGTCATCTAATAAGGCCGTAACACTGCATCCTGACCCATATTCCACTAAAAGCTTTCTTTCTATTACTATCACCTACTTCTATTTTTTTCAACTTTTCTGTAAGTCTAAAATTATTTCAAAATAAAATGCAAACAGGGGCGCCTGGGTGGCTTAGTCAGTTAAGCGTCACCTTCGGCTCAGGTCATGATCCCAGGGTCCTGGGATCGAGTCCCGCATTGGGCTCCCTGCTCAGCAGGAAGCCTGCTTCTCCCTCTGCCTCTGCCCCTCCCCCCAGCTCATGCTCTCTCTTTCTCTCTCTCTCTCAAATAAATAAATAAAATCTTAAAAAAATAAAATAAAATGCAAAACATTTGATAAACTTAAGGGAGTGAAAGAATCTACAAGGTAGAAGGATAGGCATTTGAAATTTTAAAAGTAGAGCAGTGTTCCAGGGATAACATGACCTGGGGTAACTACTGAGGCCATCGTGGTGACTGCAAGACAGTACACATTAGATGGATCAACCACACGGACAGTCAAGTCCCCAGGATGACAACAGGAGTAAGACTTTGAATCTTTTGTGAGAGTCATCAATGCATACAGAGATAAAGGGAAAGTAGGGGACCTAAAGGTTGATTGAAGGAACTATAACTGAAATTTTTGAGCTTCAAATGATAAATGGCTCTTAACTGAGGGTTGCTGAACAGTGATCTTGAAGTAGTCAAGATAACACTGAACACTATGGACTTAGGAACCCTGATCCAGAAGAGAAGCAGAAAAATTAATGTCAGTCACCTGAGAAGGTTTCTAAGGACACAGTATGCTAGTAAGAGCATCAGGTTTCTTCTGTTATGGGGGGGGAAATGTAGAAGAAAGTTCTGAGGAAAGGTAAAGGATACAATAAGTATTACTAGCAACAGAATGAGTATTACAGTGGAAATCAGGATTTGATAAGTAAAGATGAACAAAGATGGGTAAAAGCTGATACTGACAAAGAGAAAATGGAAAAAGATTGCTTAGAAGATGTCTAGGATTATATGAATAAAATAACTGTATCATATTGTCTTTAGTACATAGAGATCATAATGACTTCATAAAATTTTTAAGGCTATAAAATTATCTTTTTAGCTTCAGGATAGAGGCTCGGGTATCCAGTGGTGTCGAAAACCAGCCCAAAGCTGGAGAGCCTGGGGCTTAGTGTGGGGCTTATACCTGACAGGAATAGGGAATTCAGGGATAGAAACTGTGACATTAGCATAAGGTTACCTGAAAGAAAAGAGAACAATTTCTAGAGTTAACCATTCTCATTTATACAGTTCCTCCAGCCAAAACATTTTGACTTCTTCCTAAAAGCACACTTATTATTAGTTGGGTGGCAACTCTATTTAGCAATACAGGGAAATGTACAGATGTGACCCTTCCCAGGAAGAACTCAGACTGATGAGACACATGCACGTGAGTGTGTGCGTGTGTATGTATGCACGTGCACGCACCAGCATACTTTACGGCATCTGGATTATATTCTAGGTGAGCATCAAAAAGCTAGAGAACAAAAATGTTTCAAAAATATGTTGCTCCTTTTATCTAATTCCAAAATAATAGCACAGTTTGCCATACAAATTGGAAGCACAGGATCTTCCAATGTGTCCAAAAATATAACCATCTCAAAGAACTACAGAGAGCAAATGGAAAGCATTCATTTCAAAAATCTAGATAGAAGCCCAGACAAACATTCCATGTCATGGCTCAGATGTACATTAAACGCCAAGACTTTAGGATAAGAGGGGTGCCTGGGTGGCTCAGATGGTTAAGCGTCTGCCTTCGGCTCAGGTCATGATCCCAGGGTCATGGGATCAAGCCCCACATTGGGCTCCTGGCTCAGCGAGGAGCCTGCTTCTCCCTCTGTCTCTCTCCCTGCTCATGCTTTCCCTCTCTGTATCTCTGTGTCTCAAATGAATAAATAAAATCTTTAAAAAAAAAAAAAAAGACTTTAGGGTAAGAGAACAGAAAATGAAAATCATAATATCCACGTCCGACCAGAAAGTATTCATACCTATATAAGTAATTTTAAATACCTGAGATGAAAGATTTAAATACTTTAAAAAGCACATTGCCAGGTTTTACTTACAAACACCATCAATGTAATCCTTCAAAAGGTTTGCATCTGTCAATACCCAGAGGCCACATTCCTAGAAAGAAAAATTTTAATTTTCTTTTTTTTACATGCTTTTTTTTATGTTATGTTAATCACCATACATTACATCATTAGTTTTTGATGTAGTGTTCCATGATTCATTGTTCGCGTATAACACCCAGTGTTCCGTGCAGAACGTGCCCTCTTTAATACCCATCACCAGGCTAACCCATCCCCCCACTCCCCTCCCCTCTAGAACCCTCAGTTTGTTTTTCAGAGTCCATCATCTCTCATGGTTCAAGTTTAAATGCTCTGTAAAATGTCACAGCAGTTTCCCATACTCTTAACTCACTCTTGTTCATTTCTTTTTATGCAAATGTGAAAGTTTTTTTTACTCTGTCTCATTTTTGAGAATTTACACATGTACATGAGCATTCTCTCTCCCTCTCATACACAGAACACACACACACACACTTTTTCCATTTGCTTTTAAAACTGGAAGGATGATTATCTTTCCATTTCAAATTACACTTATATAACACACTGCACTTCAGCATCACATTTAATAAAAAGTTAACATTTCATTATTCAGATAATTAATTCTGAAAGTGTTTGCAATAGTAAAAGATATTAATATCTTTTCAAATTATGTAACAAACTAAACATACCTGAAAAACTGCAAAAGAATTCATGAACATGCCTAAATAATATCCTGTGTTATAAAGTTCCAACTCATGGACCACCTAAGGAGAAGATAAAATACATGGAATGAATTGAATCGTATCAACCTGTTCTGCCCTCTGCCATATTCCTTGTATGTTACTTAGGTAACAGCCAGCCCACAAGCTTATCTAATTTGAAAATGACACAAATGGAGGAATAAAGAATATTTGAATGCCTTGTTCATGATTCAATCAGCTAAAAATACATTTCTTCTTTTAACTTATTTTTACTCTGCTCGGTAATCGAGAGTTCCTAAGAAGTGTACGCTTGAGAGGCGCCTGGGTGGTTCAGTCGGTTAAGCAGCTGACTCCTGGTTTCAGCTCAGGTCATGTCTCAGGGTCCTGGGATCAAGCCCTGTGCCAGTCTCCACACTGGGCAGGGAGGCTGCTTATGGATTCTCTTCTCCCTCTGCCCCTCCCCCTGCTCGCTTGCACGCACATGCACTCTCTTTCTCTCTCTTTAAAATAAATAAATAAATAGGGGCACCTGGGTGGCTCAGTCGGTTAGGTGTCTGCCTTCGGCTCTCGTCCCAGCTCCCTGCTCAGTGGGGAGTCTGCTTCTCCCTCTCTCTCTGCCCCTCCCTCTCTTGTGTGTGTGCTCTCTCTCTCTCTCTCTCAAATAAATAAATTAAATCTTTTTAAAAATAAATAAATAAAATAAATAAATAAATCTTAAAAAAAAGTGTATGCTTGAGTTTTGCCCAGGAAGAACTTAAATGTCACTGGCTGACTAAACCAACACATAGGGGTCAGCATTGAAAACAACCCATACTTTTGGCAGATAAATGGGTTAAATCTGATGGTTAATATAAGTGCTGCAAATGTCAGTTAACTACATTTTTTAAAATAACAAAAAGAGGCAATTCACAAAAAAAGAAATGCAAATTATTAAGAAGCAGAAAAAAATATTCAACCTCATATAATCAAGATAATGCAAATTACATCAGGGAAAGTGTTTTCAATATTGAAATATTTACATGATCACATTAGCAATCCTATTTTTTTAAGAACAGCATTCCTTGCTAGCAAGAGTGAGTAAAATAGGCTAACAGAGTGAGTGAAGTTGGCAGCTCCTAAAAAAGCTAAACGCAGATTAGAATATGACTTGGCAGGGCGCCTGGGTGGCTCAGTCGTTAAGCGTCTGCCTTTGGCTCTGGTCATGATACCAGGGTCCCGGGATCGAGCTGCACATCAGGGCTCCCTGCTCTGCAGGAAGCCTGCTTCTCCCTCTCCCACTCTCCTGCTTGTGTTCCTGCTCTCGCTAACTCTCTCTCTCTGTCAAATAAACAAATAAAATCTTAAAAAAAAAAAAAATGACCTGGCAATTCCATTCCCATGTATATACTGAAAAGAACAGGGACTCAAAGAGATCCGTGCATGCCAATGGTTCATTGCAGCATCAGTCACATAAGTCAAAAGACAGAAACAACTTAAACGTCTATCAAGAGAAGAATGGATACACAAAATGTGGTAGATACATACAATTGTATATTATGCAGCCATAAAAAGAAAGTTCCGATAGGTGCTACAACATGGATGAACCCTGAAAACCTTAAGCTAAGTGAAAGAAGGTAGACACAGAAGGACAAACTTTGTATGATTCCACTTACATGAAATATCTAGACTAGGCAAATTCACAAAGACAGAAGTAGATTAGAGGTTGCTGCGGTGTGGAGAAAGAGGGAAATGGAAGGTTACCACTTCATGGTTACAGAGTCTCTGCTTGGAGTGATGAAAAAGTTTCGGAAACAGATAGTGATGATGGTTGTACAACATAATGAAAGTAATTAATGCCACTGAATTGTCTTTTTTAAATGGTTAAAATGGCAAATTTTATGTTATATATGTTTCACCACATTAAAAATTTAAGATATGATACCCTTTTTGGTAACTATTCCAATGCATCTCCCTTATTAACATTAGCATTAACCAGACAAATTAAGACAAAGGCAGGAATAAAAATCATGAAAAGATTCTAAGCACAAGTTTAAAAAACACACCACATTTATTTTTTTTATTTTTTTTATTTTTTTTATTATGTTATGTTAATCACCATACAACACACCACATTTAAAATTAAACACGTGCATACACTGTTTCCACCATGCTAACCACCACCACTGCTACAGCCATGGTAAGCAAACATGGTGCCAGGTTCAAGAAGAAAACCATAGAACGAGAAAACAGTCTATTATATCTCAGCAAGCTGGCAAACACAGTCAGCCCAACTACAGGCAACGCGGCCAGAGCCAGATATAATGGAGAGAAAAGGTTTTAGGCCCATGACTCAAACTCAGCTACGGAACACAAATGCATGCAAGATCACCTTCTGCTGACACTCCCGCGTGAATCAATGGAATTATCCAGAAGAAACATCTATCTCAAAAAGAAATTCTCCTTTTCTCAGTGGCTCAATAAAAAGGCATTGCCAAAGCTGCAGCAAGGGCTGGTGTCTGAAATTATTTCTGGAAGATCTAGCACACTTCAATTTTCCCAAGGTGTTCTCAGCACCACTTATAAATTTAACAAGAACAAAAGAAACCACAATGGTCTATCACTACAGGCTCCTAACACCCTCCCCCAGAGCCAACTCTGGAGAAACAATAAAAGCAAGTAGGAAACTCAGATGAGTGGTAAGAGAAAACCCTGGGAAGAGTGAAGGATATCTTGAATTGGTGTGTTGGGAGGAAGTGGGTGGCAGAAAGTACGAGAGGTAGACAATCTGAGGAAAAGGTTTTTGAATTCTGCTCTTGCTTCTTTCCCGGGGGTAACGTCAGGACAATCATTCCTTGCACTTTCACTGCCCAAATCAGCAACTGCAGCAGCAGCCTGCACTGCCTGTTGCAAAGTGTCAGGAAGTCAGCACCTCTGCCCTTCTGGTGTGACAAACGGAGGAAAACCTATGGACAGACCCATGGCCCCAAGCATTCACTCTTCCTCTTGTCCTCCAAATTCTCAGGGCTGCTGGATCATAATCTTAAGAGACTGCCTCTTCTTGGTGATGCTTTTCCCTAAGAGCTTAAAAGTAAAACACTGAATAAAAGCCAACAGCACACAGAGAGGCTCAAGAGTAGTTCTCTAGTCCCTGGAGCTTGACCCCTCCCTCTCTTTTTTTTTTTTATTAAAGGTTCTTATATTGTTTTTTTTTTTTTAAGATTTTATTTATTTATTTGACAGAGAGAGACACAGCGAGAGAGGGAACACAAACCGGGAAGAAGCAGGCAGAAGGAGAGGGAGAAGCAGGCTTCCCACTGAGCAGGGAGCCCGATGCGGGGCTCCATCCCAGGACCCTGAGATCATGACCTGAGCCAAAGGTAGACGCTTAACAACTGAGCCACCCAGGCACCCCTATTATTACACATTTTAGAAATAAAGAAACTGGGACTCAGAGAGATGAATTTTCTCCAGGTCACACAACTAGTGTGTGTGTGTGTGTGTGTGTGTGTGTGTGCGCGCGCGCGCATACATACACAGGGAAACAAAAATGAAATAATAGATTTAAGAATTTAGAAACCCGGGTGCCTGGGTGGCTCAGTTGGTTGGGTGGCTGCCTTCGGCTCAGGTTGTGATCCTGGAGTCCCGGGATTGAGTCCTGCATCGGGCTTCCTGCTCAGCAGGGAGTCTGCTTCTCCCTCTGACCCTCTTCCCTCTTGTGCTTTCTATCTCTCATTCTCTCTCTCTCAAATAAATAAATAAAATCTTAAAAAAAAAAAGAATTTAGAAACCCATAAAATGAGAGATATTACTAAATTCAGTTAAATCAAATGAAAAATGCTATAGACTTTTTAGAATAATGTGAATTTTTAAAAAGTCAAGAGAAAAAAATGACCAATTAGCTTTAAAGGAGTTTTTTTTTTAAAGGAGGATTTAGAGGGGTGCCTGTGTGTCTCAGTCATTAAGCGTCTGCCTTCGGCTCAGGTCATGATCCCAGGGTCCTGGGATCGAGCCCCACATCGGGCTCCCTGCTCTGTGGGAAGTCTGCTTCTCCCTCTGACCCTCCCCCTGCTTGTGTTCCCTCTCTTGCTGTGTCTCTCTGTCAAATAAATAAATAAAATCTTTAAAAAGGGGGGGCATTTAGAAAAATTAGCTTTATGGACTGAAAATTATATATAATATTTGTCAAGTGGATTAATTTACAACAAGATGACCAAATTAGCCTAAACATTTATATCTTTCCTCCTATATGTTGTTAATCACTATACTTAATCAATTAATGGACATAGGTTATACAATCTAGATTTCAACTGACAATGGCACACAAGGATATATCAAGAGCTTACAAATAAAAATGAAATTATTAATGAAGAGGGGATTAGTTTATGTAACACTAGATGTTCATGTATTTCTTGGTTTATAAGTTTTCTGCAGATTAACATGATTTCACTCCCTCAATATACCACAAATTCCTGATTCAGTAAGACTGTAATTATATATAACCATTATGTATAACCAAAACAGAAAGTACGTCAAAATTATCTAAAGCTATCTTCTCCAATGTCATCCAAAATTATACAAGTCAATTTCCTAGTACTTTCTTAAGAGTCTTAAATTCAAATACAGCATGAAAATGAGGGAAAACTCTAGATGGCATCTCTCATCTAAGACAGCAAAGACACTTCACCACATGAAGCCTCTTTCCAACATAACAACCAGAATGCAAATCTTTTTTATTTGGAAGCTTTACTGATGACTGACTTATACTTCAGAGGAACTAATGAAATTCCCTTTAGATATTTGAAGCAATGCAATAAGGTTTCCTTTTTGCTCCTTTAACATGCATTTTTGTAAGGAAAAAATAGCTAAACTCACATTTTCCATTGTAATATCATTTGAGACATTCATCAGATTCACGGTTTTGTCAACAGCTACAATACCAACTGTCGAGTCTGGCTGTGTCACAGAGATCCTGAGAGAGACTTTCTCAGATGGTTCAGCATGAGCTTTACTCCAAAACAGCTTTATCTAAGAAAGGGATAAAACAGGACTGATTTATTTGACTTTTTAAAAAGCATTACTTACATGTCTCACCAACATCAGTTCAGTGACTCAAAATCTAGCAAAGATTCTACATTTGCCTTGACTCAGGGATCATTCTAAAACCATACATAAGCCTTCGACAGGGAAAGAAATTTTTTTAAAAAATTTATTAACGGTGTTTACAAGTCATGGAACCTCCCACAGTGGCAGAAATCTGATTTAGCCTTCATTGCTCTACCTGTCCTCTTCCCTTTCTCCAACCGACACCCCTGAGCCCCCAGCCAATGTTAAAGAGAAGGCAGCAGTGTTGTCTGGGACACCTGGGGAAGGCCAGGATCCTGGAGGAGGAACAGGGAAGAAGAAAGAAACCAGAGATTCTCACATGCCGGTAACCTGAACTTAGAAGTGAGTCAAGTGAGAGTTCCCCCGGGGACTCACAGAACTGCCTGGGCTGGAGGCAGGGGGATGTCTTTCCAAGGGAGGACGTGAACAGACCAAACACTAGTTAGGCCCAATGCTCTGTGTCTCCATGGCCACCTGAACGTCCTCTGTTCATTACATTCCTCAAAGCATGGTCCTAGCTAGTACTCCTTAAAGAGCCTCAATCATCTCAACACGGCGAAACTGAATGGCTTTGTCATGAGGCTCCTTCCTACTAGGAATGTTCATCTTATCTAGCTCTATTTCAATAGGCCACTGATGCAGTGACTGTACCTCCTGACCAAGATGGCCTTCATGTTCCCCTCGGCTTGACTAAACATCAAACAGCCTTCTTCCTGATCATTAGCCCCCAATACTCCCTTTTCTTACAGCATTTATTTTAGAAAACTTGCAATTATAAATTTTTTCTCTGCCCCTTTGAAATGTAAGTCTTCTCCCGGCCTCTCGACAGTTTTACAACCCAGGACTGTCTTTCTCAAGGACCTGGGAGTCAATCCTTTGAAATGTAGTCACCAAAACAACAGAGTCCCTGATGGATCTTTCCATCTCTGTGGAGGACAGGAGCCTAACTTATACACTGCCAGTTAGCAAACACAGATGGCCTAATCACATTGACCAATCTCCCCTCAGCGTCCTCCAGTACTTTTCCACAAGCTCATCCTCTGCTTAAAACTCTCCTGCCTTTTGTTTCAGTGAAGTTGAGTTCAATCTCTCTCCCCCTACTGCAATAGTCTTGAATAAAGACTTGCCTGTTTAACTTGTCCAGTGAAATTTTTTATAAAACTGTATCTAGTTTACTTTTAGTTTAAGTTTCTCCACCTATACCCAAAAGGAAGGGGAGGAGAGCAACATGTTCCAAACTTGCACTTCTCACTCTTTAATTCTATACCTCCGAGACCCCATGGCTTCAAGATATATTTGCGTGTGGATGATTTCTAAACCTCCATCTCTTATGCTTTCCACATCCTATCCATTTATTCCACAGTCATTATTGAACATCAAAAAGACTCACTAATTTTCTCTTGCTTAAATATAACCTCTTTTCAAATTTATAGTTTGTGAGTAATGTAATAAACATTATATAAAAAGTAAAGAAAGAGCTGTGCCTGGCTGGCTCAGTCAGTACAACATGCAACTCTTGATCTTGGGGTTGTAAGTTTGAGCCCCACGTTGGGTGTAGAGATTACTTTTAAAAAAAAAAGCAGAGAAATATATTTTTGCAAATATAGCTGAAACTATATTTCTTATCTTTCATATCTAAGAAATTTCTTGGAATTATGCTATTTATACACTCCGCTTCCTCAAAGCCAATGACCTCTTACATGGTTAACTTTTTTAATACTTGGCCTCACTCTCAAAGATGTATGCCTCCTTATCTAAGCCTGACTCCTACTTTAAAATTCATCTTTGTCAATCCATGTTCTAAAAATAACAGAAGATAGCACTGTCTTTGAAAAAACTCTTTATAAAATGAAAAATAGAAGTTTGTATTCTATCCTGACAATCAGAGTTAGTTAACCATCATCGACAAAATGCATATATGACTACTGCAACCTCTCAGAATTTTAACAAATTAAGCAAACAGGAATGCTATCAAAGGAATGGCACCCTGCAAATCAATACTTTTAAACAATGATTATTTTGTTTAAAATGAACTGAGAAGGCAGCAACTTTCAGTGAGAACAGTGGCTCATTTTATTATACGTGAGATGATTCAATTCCACCAGGCACTCTTGCAGCCAGCTTACTTTTCAAAGTTGGGGTTCAAGGGGGTTTCCTAAACAAGCTATATGCCTTAAGCTATACAAATCCCTGGTGCTTTTGAAGACCAAACTCCACACAGATCTCCACATGCCAGGTAGCCAAGCTTACTGTAAATCTGTCTGGGGTGAGTTTCCAGGCTGATGAAATGGATAAACCAAACCTGGGCTCTGCTTCCACATTATCACTGCTGATGGCCTCCCTCCCTCCCACACCCTTCATTTCACTCTCACGCCAATATCAGCACCACACAAATTCTAGAATCGCCACTGGAATTCCATGCCAGGGCAATATCGACTCCATCATTTGAGAAATCCTGAAATAGCCTCATGGAATTAAGTTAAAGTCTTAAAGCCAAGAATCATAACTTACAAATAAGACCCACACTGCCCGGTAATTCCACATGTGAAAATACATATGTAGTAACAACATGAAGAGGTTTAACCATAGTTCTGGAAATGAATATAAATTTCTAACCAATTTCGTTTAGTGATACTTTTCTAAAGAAATACTAACATTTCTCAGACTTCACTAATGTGAAGTTTTCTTCTAACATCATTACCTTAAATCTTACCTTATTTTTAAGAACAAGCTGAACAGGAATCTTTAGAACATCATTTATAATTTCCCCATCATCTTCAATATAATACACAATAATACAGGCTTTTGGAGCCCAAGAATTTTCTGGTGTTAAAGAGAAGGTTGTTGAATTTTGCTTGCCTGCAGCCACCAACTGTCCCCTGGATACTACCTGAAAAGAAGAGAAGAGTTTCATTTTATGCCAAAGCTAATAAGAATCTCAACTGCAGCTACAATCGTAATAATGTCAACCATACACACAAATCGTTGACTTAAACCAACTTCAAAGCCTTTTTGAATGCAAGGAAACTTCCCTGACCAACACAGAAAGGATAAGCCAGGAAACAGAAAAGGATAAGATAAAGAAATACTGATTGAGACAACGGTACCTTCACAGTCAAGAATCTATTTTTGAGCAGGAGGAATATAGAGCACCACTGGGGAGAGCCGGATGAGCAAAATTCAAGGCTCTGGGTAGCAAGTTTTATTTTTTTTGTTTGTTTGTTTTTCTCATACTTTGTAATTTTCTACAATAAATTTAGATGGATGATCTCATAGAAATTTAAATTTTAAACAGATTGCAAGATTTAATTATCCATCTTAAGTTGGAAATGCAAATTCACGTGAAGGAAGAAAAAAGAAATTTTGATTGCAATATAAAAAGGGCAGGCTGAAGGATATAAGACTGAATTTTAAAAATTAGTGAGTATAGACATAAGGTAGATACCATTCTCGATGATCCTATAAGAGATAATAAATTTAAATTCTATAAGAGATTACCATATAGCTTAACTCCTTTAATCGCTTGTTGCCACTAACCACCAACTCAAAAGGTGATCCCACCTAGGGAAAAAAAAAAAACCTATTTAATAAACACATATGAATGGCAAAAGAGTACAATTATACTGTAACTGTAAGTGATTATAAGCATTACCTTTATATTTTCATCTCTTGTCTTTAGCTGGATGTATGTCTTACTGGGAGACTTAAACATACCATGAACTGCCATGCTACTCACACTATTAAGAAAAGAGGCCTATAACAGAAGAAAAGGGAGCTATAAATTTTCATCTTCAGTAACACCCTGAGAAAGAATACTGTATTTTGAACAATTCCTGAAAAGCAAAATCACTTCTACTTTTTTTCTTGCCAAAAAAAAAAAAAAAAAAAATGTTCCCCAGACAATGGATCTTCACTTTATAGCTTATATTATAAAGAAAGTGACAGCTTTAAAACACAGAAGAAGGTCTTCATCACCATAATCTAAGAGGAAAAAGCATACTCCTAACTTATTTCAGAAATTAAAGTACATTATCAAGAAACACTATGACAGGAGAGAACAAAATGAGAAGGGACTCCTTTCCCTCTCTCCACAACACAGAGTTCATTTACAAGCAAGAAATCAGACCAACCCATGCATCTACCAGTAGTCAGAGTAACACTCAAAGGACCAAACCTGTGGCAATGAAAAGAAAGATAGCAGGAATGGTTGGGGTGTCTCAGATGAGCCACTCTGAGAAAGAGCTCAGCAAAGGAGTACAGGTTTAAAAAAATATTTTCCTCTTTCATTTCAGCTCCTGCCAAAATATACTTTCAAGTGATTGAAAACCAACCTAGTCTGGGAATCTGAGGAGCTTCTTCATCATATCTTCAGAGCACTATATTTTACTGTGTTCTTCAAAATGAATCTACAAGGAAGCATTTGGTCCACCCCTCAGTCACTGTTACTAAATTGCTTATAACGCTTTCCTCCATTTTTTTAAATAGAAACATGTGTTTACTTCCTACTTTCTGTGCACTTTGACCTCTAACGGTTTGAGTGCCTACCATGAGATTACAATTTCAATGATCTTGTTGTAGTAACATAATGATGAGAAACAGACGGTACCTTCAACTGTAGCTCACTGGAATCATCCAGGATTGGGAATTCAATCTTAAAGACTCCATTTTGGGGGAGGGTATAATTTATGATCTGGACAGCTTCTGTTGCCTGGTTTCTACTGTCCCATCTGCTCCAGTACTCAGAAGAATTTTTCTGTGTCACTGTTATAACCACATTATTTCTTCTTTCTTCAAAAGTCAGTCGATTGCCATCAGCACGGGCTACCTTTACCTAATTGTCAAAACACAACATTTTAAAAACAGATTAACAAGAAAAGCAAAGGTTTTAAGTTCAGTTGAATCCAGTTCCCATCTGTGCTATTCCAATGAAACTGAACTCTCAAAAACTGTTGGCAGCACCCTAACTTCCAGATGAAGTAGTCTCTCTCTAGAAGGCTTCCAACACCACTGACCATTCCCTTCTTGACAGTTTGGCTTCTCTTGCCTTCCATGGCTCCACAAGAACCTTCTTGATTTCAGAGCCCTCTTTCTGCATCCTCACAGTGTCCTTTCAGGTTCCACCTTCCTCTCCCTAAACGTGGGAATTCGTCAAGGCTAAATTATCAGTTATCTGTGCTTCTCTTTTTCTCAAAGCTCTCAGCACTCCTACTGCTTTCCTCACCTTGCTCTGGAGCTCATACTCAACACCTCCAATTTCCACTTGCAGGAAATTTCTACTTAAATATCCCTGTCAACTCAAATTCAGTGCATCTATAACTGAGTGACCATCTTGCCTCTCCTATTTTTGCTAACACCACAATTCTGCCAGACTTCACATTTCTGTTTCCCCTCCCTCTTCCCACCTCCCAAATCCAATATATACCAAGTCTTGTACTTCTCTCTTGTGTCCTCTCCACTTGCACATCCGTGATGACCCCCCGCGCCCGAGCTTCCTCGCCACCTCACACCTGGGCTGCAGCCATCCTCCTACACACAGCCCCATCCATCTCCCTGGAATACCACTTTTGCTATACCCCTCCCACATTCATAAGGCTCCCAGGCTCTTCACTGCCTAGAGCATAAAGTTCAAAAACATGCATGTGTCATTTAGGATCCTTGACAACTCCCCACACGTTGCCTCCTGTTTTCTCTCTCAGCACTCCCAGACACAAACTCCCTGCTACAATTGTACTGATCTAGGTGAATGCACCTGAACTTGCCAAGCAGGGCTCTTGCCTTGTCTCAGCTCATCTTGCTCCCCATCTCCCACCCCCACACCAAACATTTAAAATCCTACTGATCTTGGGCACCTGAGTGGCTCAGTTGGTTAAGCGTCCGACTCTTGGTTTTGGCTGAGGTCATGATCTCAGGGTCATGGGATCGAGCCCCGAGTCAGGCTCACACTCAGCATGGAGTCTGCTCGAGATTCTTTACCCTTCTTATTCCCTCCCCCTCTGCTCCTCCCCTGGCTCACACTCACACTCTCTGGTTCTCTCTCTCTCTCTCTCTAAAATAAATAAATGAATAAAATCTTTGAAAAAATAAAATAATATCCTACTGATCTTTTAACAAGTAGCTTAAATCTTCCCCTTCCATAAAGCATCCTTTAATGACCCTCATCCCTATCCCAAAGCCAACTCTTCCTCCCAGACTCTCATTTGGAAGTTACCATTTGCAGCCTCAAGGGTCTTTTTCTTAGTTTTTCAAACTAAATTATATGATCATTGAAATCAGGAACTATCTAAAATTTCTCTTGATCCATTCAATAAGAAGTCATACCCTCTTTCTTTAAACCAGAGGTCAGTGAACTATGGCAGGCAGGAAGGCCGAATCCAGTCTTTTTGTAAATAAAAGTTTTATTGGAACACAGCCACCCTGACTTGGTTACAAAGTAGTAAAGACTTCTTTCATGCTACAATGGCAGAGTTGGATAGATGTCAGTCACAAAGACCATATATCCCACAAAGCTAAAAGTATTTACTATCTAGTCCTTTGTAGAAAAAGTTTGCCAACCCCTGCTTTAAATCACTACAGAAATGTATGCATGACATTGACCTTATCCTGCTTTAAGTCATATTTGTGTGTATGACTTGTCACCATCACAAAAACTGTGAATCCTGGGTAGGGACTGGGTTCTTCTTAGCTCTGTAAGCCCCACCCAGCACCCTGCCTTGCACATTGTCAAAATTCACTCATTAAGTGTTAACTCAAGAAAAAAAAAAAGATTTGTTGATAATTTTTAATGCAACATCTTTGCTAGAACTAAAATTGGTCATTATTAAAATCAAACTGAAACTGAAATTTTTTGACTAACACCTAATTCTTTCAAGAAATTTATAAAAGCTTCAATGTAGCAATCCAAATCTAACTTAAATTCCTTATTAAATAAATTTTGAGGAAAATAACTTTTGTTGGAGACCACCTTTTTAAGAAAACTTAGACAAAGGTCATTTGGGAACAATTCTATATACTTCATATACCTAAGGGGGAAAAGTAATCTATCTACTTTGGGCTTAATTTTTTTTTTTTTTTTAAGATTTTATTTATTTGACAGAGAGAGAGACAGTGAGAGAGGGAACACCAGCAGGGGGAGTGGGAGAGGGGGAAGCAGGCCTCCCACTGAGTCGGAGCAGGGAGCCTGATGTGGGGCTCGATCCCAGGACCGAGGTCATGACCCGAGCCGAAGGCAGCGGCTTAACCAACTGAGCCACCCAGGCGCCCCTTAATTTTTTTTTTGAAAAGCACTGAAAATATTATCTGCCATTCTGTTTCATTAAACTGAACTTGTTGCTTTAGATCATTAATAAACATGCCAACTTACAGTTGCTGTGAAGTTGAGAGATGGCTTCAAGACAGTAGCATAATCAAAAAATTCAATGATGTAATCATGTTGCTTGAAAAATACATTAGAACTTGCATTTCTTGAGATACCTGTTTTGGAAATTGCACCATTTAGAAACCAAATATTATACTTCACCAACAGCTTCTATTCACCAAATTTCTCTATCTATCTAAGCTACTTCCACAAGGAGTTAATGGGGGCACAGAAGCCTCATTCCCACACTGGCTTGGTCATAAAGAGAACCATACAGTTCTCTTACAGCCTCCATGAACCCCTTCTAAGCACCATTACTGCTATGCCCATCCACAACATGGACACTGCAGATTAAGGCCACTGACTGAATCCTTTTTTGCTCTTTCGAGGTTTGGTGAAAGCTGTGGATAGCAACAGAAAGATCCAAGCAATTAACCTTTATTTTATTATTGAAAAAGAAAACTGTCCATGAGCAGACAAGAGCTCAGAAGATGTTAAATGATTTAAAAAAAAAAACAGAAGGTGGTTAGTCAGCTGAAAAGGTAGGACTTTCCAAGTAGTTTCCAGGTTGAAAAGAAAGCAGAAATGAAGGAAATTACAAATACCTATTCCATGTGGTTGAAGCACAGACTGTGGGAGAAAAAGGTATGTCCCCAAAAAATTTAAAATTAAAATTAAAAGAAAGAAAAGAAGTTTCCCCTTCATAATGAAAACACTCTGCAACTGACACTAATTAACAGTCATGACAATTTCAGAATTAAGTAGCATCTTTAGAAAAGCTCCCAAACGAACGTGCTAGTTATAATAAGAAAGGAGAGAGAGGACCACCACATAAATAGCTTTACCTTCACTTCAAAGTCTACAAACCTGTAAGTGATTCTGTCACTGTGGCTAAAATTTCTACCGGCCCAGGGGAAGACAGATACATGTGTTCAGAAAGCCCTTCTGAAAAATCCATTACTTTTTTCATCTCTTCATCATTAAAAGAGAAGTTTGCAGATCCATTTATCTGTTTTGTTTAAAATAATTCAATTTTATTCTTCACTTTAGCAATTCAAATTTTAGAAATAAAATTCAAACTAAGTCACAAAAATATGATGGCTCTGGAGTATAAATGAGTAGATTCTCATTTGTCCAATTCTAGAAAACTCTTGATTTTTCTTACACTCAATTCTTTGTTAATTCAGTACAAAATCTTATTTCTAGTAAAAGTATACTTACAGTGTTTCCCCATTAGAAGTTATAAGAGCTCTGTAAAAGTTACCTTAAAATTTTTTGTAATATTTTTCTTCATGCCCCAAAAGGATAAAGGTAAAAATGTAAGTGTTACATCTCCTTTCACTGGCTTCCCATATGTGTACCTGAAAAATGATATATTTTTTTACATTTTCAACTTGATATTATCAAAATAGCACATGAAAATATTACTTTCAAAAAAAAAAAAGAAAATACTACTTTCTACTAAAATACTGAAATACTACTTTCAATAGCATACACTGGCAATCCAACCTAAAAGATTTATATTTTTAAAAATACTCTCACTGCACATTTTTAAAACTAATCTCAGCTAGGAATATCATTAATAAATGATGATCCTTGAAATTAAGTCTCCAAAATGAGAAGACTTTTAATTACAATACTTCAAAACAGTTCATAATACGTATTTTACCTCTAACCATTTTAGACACTCCAGAGAAAATCATAATTGCAAGTGCAGTTTCCTGTCCAAAGATTTTTTTTTTTAAGTTACAAAAATGTTTTATTCCTAGAAATCTAGGCTGGCCCTTTAACAGCATGCCCAGGACACTTCGCAGCTTTTGAACATTTTTAAATGGTAGTTGAAATTGCAATCGCCAAGACCCACTGTTGCATGTTCCAGTATTAACCAGAAGGGTTTATTAGACAATACACTGGGGCACCAAGTGTGCTCATGGCTATCAAAACTTGGATTTGTGCAGAAAAATGTAAAAGAAGAGTAATTTTTTTATCCATAGTACCAAAATTATCTTCTTGAGTCAAATCTCCTCTCTGCTGCTTTACATTCTATGTATTAATTTTATCCTCTCTCCTGATGGGAAAATCTCTTCATGTGAAAAAGAGAGGCAATCTTTGGTAAACCATTTTACTGCCAAAAAGCCTTTTTTAAATGTGTTTCCTGGGTTCCTTCCATTTCTATTGTGTAATAAATGCTCAGCCAAATGTGGAAGTCAATTTTGCTTTGCACTCTATAAATCTAACAGTAAACTCCTGTTTCCTGAATCCATTAGTTGAACACAGAAACAGCCGCTCATCTGGATCAACTCAATTCAAACGCCAATGATAAAATATAGTACATTCCAAATTAAGGAGAATAAAACAAATATATTTTCAAATGTATTGCCTTCCAAATGAGAATAGTAAAGTTAGTGGAAACCCTTGTCAGCAACTTCGGCACCAAATTCATTCATTCAAGAGAGTCCTCGAAACTTAACAGTTCTTGTATCTTGTTAAAGATTAAATAAATGCATAAGGATACCAGAACATTATATTTTAAAAGAGTTCTATCACATGATAGTACAGGGGGCTTGAAAATCCAGACATAATTTAATGTATTCTCAGACACAAATATTTTTTATTTTTGTTTAAATGTGAAGCAGATTTAGCTTTCTTTGCCTCAAGCTGATTATAATAATTATGAAACAAGGATACTGACAATTATTGTCCTAAATAAATCTGGAAGCATGTGGAATAAACTAATGATTCAGAAAATAATAGTTTGACAAATTTTTTTTATTTTTCATTATGTTCAGTTAGCCAACATATAGTACATCATAAGTTTTTGTTGTAGTGTTCAACAATTCATTAGTTATGAATAACGTTTTAAAAAGCAAATCAAGCATATTCTAGGGTAGTACCGTTAACAAAACAAGGATTTTTTTAAATAGTCATAGCACAAAAGGTTTACAAAATGATACCTAAAAAACTGAACCTGCCGGTATAATTCATGTTTCTCCCACCTTTTTTTTCCATGTCATTTCCAAGATACAAATGTCTCAATTCATCAAATATTTAAATAAACCTTAGCCTAAAGAATATTTGTTTAGATTTTACTGTCTGCAGAATATAGAGAAATAACTAGCTGTGTGCTATGTTATTTTCTTTACAATCCTCTAGAACCCTCTGTGGTTAGTGGAAAAAGAGTCTATTATTTTAATGAGGTGGGAATAGTGAGCAGATGTTCACATCAAAGCCAATAAACAAATGCAGATTTTTATTCATCTCAGTTAAAGATTTCAAAACCAAAAAGAGACTGTTAACCTTCTTTGGGAAATTTCCAGCAATGCTCTTCACCTTAACTATGCCTTGATGGGACAGATGGCTACTAGCAAAAGAAAAGCCCAAACCGTTTATTATCCACTCTTGGATCATCATCCTCATCAACATCTCTATCTTTTCTGGGACACAGTATTTATAGAATACATCTATGCCAATTTTTATAGACTGATAAAAGACTCTGCTAGTCAAAAGATTTCCTTAATCTGTTACAAAGATGTAAAGTATATCCTCAATGTGAACGTAAGCCAGTCCCCCACAATCATGTAAGCCAATTCCTTGCAATAACCTCTTAATATATATCTCCTACTGACTCTAATTCTCCTGTGGAACGGAGAGACTGACACAAGTCCTGAGGAAAATGATGCAAGTACAATGTGGTGAATGCTAAAGAAACACAAGGGGCCATCACAATGGTCATGTTGTTCTCAGCCATTAGTACTTCAAAGAGGCTCAACAAATGAGAATCCAGATGAAACTATGAGGGTTCTTTTTTTTTTAATCTAATTGGCTTTATTAAGCAATCCGTGAATGGGCAGCATCCCATCTAGCAAGTAAAGAGATGCTCCTATAAGAGTTCTTACTGGGCTAGCAGGGAGGAGGGTACCAGGGGATCCACAACCCCCCAAAGTTGTATATAAAACTTTCTGAAGAGTTACCAGAGTTTAAGAATCACTGTTTTAACTGACTGTAGTGAATCCCTGGCACAGCCCTGAAAACCAAAAACCAGAAGCAAAGAAGGTATCCATACTCAACCTAATCCAAGAGGACACTAATGGTTTGTGTGGATTTGCACTCACTGTTTTATAAACTCTAGTCAAAGAACTCAAAATAAAACCCAGACAGAATCCTTAGCCTTCAGCTCAGATCAAGGGCAGGATAATAATTATGTAAAATGCAGGCATTTATGTGTTTTCTAAACCATAAATCCATCCACAGTACCCAAATTCATATTGGAAGCCACCTCTTAGTTGAACACAGGCAGAAAACTAAGTTGGTATATAAACTGTAGACACACTTTTGCCTTTGTGTTGCAGGGGTTTTACATGTTTTTTTGTTTGTTTGTTTGTTTGTGGGTTTTTTTGCCAAATAAAATCTGAAGCAGGAGTCTTCACAATGTTTTGTCTATGGGCTGCTTCCATCAGGAGACTCACTGCCCATCACTTGCTACTACCACAAACCCTCACCAAGAGAGGAATATGGCAATGAAAAAGCAGTGAGAGGGAGGCCAGTGTTTTTATCAGCTATTATAAATGAATTCTGAAACTAAATAAATTTCAGGAACCAAAGCACAGCTATTCACACATCCAAAATGAAAGCTACATAAGATCAGGCCTGGAATAACTCCAGCCTACACTTTTGAGAACTGGTAGTCTGGGACTCTGAGGATGCTTTTTGCCTCTGCAAAATGAAACGCTATGCTGGTCGAGCCAGTGGATCAAAATCATGAGAGCCATGATACATCTATCATACATGTGGGCTGGAATCTCTCTGTATATATTCACTGAATTGACAAGGAAGGCGAACTCCTTACTTGTTTGCTAACTGCAATAAGATAACCAAATTCCTCCCCCAAGATTCGACCTCCATTATGGACAGAAAAAAAAGTAAGTTTGAAGAAGAAGTAAGTAGCCTCGATCCATGTCAGCTGAATGAGGGATAAAGATACAACGTTTTTTTTTTTAATCTGGAACAATCTATAATGTAAAGCCCCTGACTAGTATCAGAAAGATACTCATCTGTGGGAAATATTTCAGGATTGGATCAGCTTGGAAGCAGGGAGGTGGATACAAAGACCTGTACAGACATGTTCCGTGCTTAATTATTTATTACAGATACTTGTTTCCTGCACATTGGGGTATTTTAATAAGCAGAACATGGTGCTAATATTCTGGAGTATATAATGAGCTCTTTGTCAGTTTTATAACAGTAGATAGCCATAAAAAAAAATGATACTTACTTTGCTACGACAGTACCATTTAAGCTCCTAGAATTCAAAGAACAATATAATGGTGTCTGCAAAGTAACTTCAAATTTGGGCAATACTGGAAAAGAGAAGCAAGGGTAAATATCTTAAAGAATCTACTTTACTATCAAAATAAAGATTACATTGTTCTAAAGAAGTCGACAATTGGTACTATTTGAACTTAGATTCCTTAGAATCCAAAGACACATTAACACACAGATGAAAAGCACTTCATTTCACCCAAAATGAGAAACCCTTATGAGGCTGATGACTAGACAGTGACAGTGGGGACTCATTACTATGGACACATGTGTCAATGGAAGCTTCTCATCGGTCGAACCTGTATTGTATCCAGAACCCTGAGCTAAGGCATCTGAATGGTGGGAGACCAGGCATCACCCATTCATTAATGCTCTCTTACTGCTTGTTAAAATACTTCCATGTCACGTGGTAAACAGTTGCTTCTAGAGCAGCCCTTTCCCTAGGACTATTCTCCAGCATGGTTACTAAAAGCTAGGGCCCCAAGACTCTCCCTCTGCATGGTACCATATATGTAGTCATACAGAATCCTTATTCTTCAAGACAATCAAAGGTGAATCTGGTGACAGTCGAATGTAATGGACTGCTATGAAGGGAAAGCTGTGTAGTAGGATTTCTGAGTTAATCACTAAGATACGGCTACAAAGTAATGATGCTTTTCTTGAGTGACAGTGATTCCTGAAGGCAATCCCAAAGTTAAAAACCCCTACTTTGGTCAGCTTTATATAATTAAGATGTGAAATACTTTATAAATATGAACACTATTTGATATAAAGCATACCACCAGAGTAAAAAAAAAATTGTATCCTTCTGGTCTATAGAAATTTTTTTCTCAAACTTCACTAGCTAAAGAAATAGATCAGTCTCATTACAAAGCATCTCACCATTCAAGTAACACAAGAGAAGTATCAAAAAGGCCAATGGGTCAACAATATAGATTAGACCTCCAGCTCCAAACCAGGCCAAAGGCCCTTTGTATGACAAGATAGCCCTAGACAAATCTAGGACTGGAGGGCCAAAAAAGCCACATGATCCACTCAGAGGTGAAATTTCCTTAGAACAAAGAATTCAAATGTCCCCTCCTCAAACATCATAGGTTGGCAATCAATTCCCCACCTCCACCATATCCAGTTCAACAACATGTAACCACCCAGCACCACCTCCATGTGAAATGAAAATAGCCTATAAAAACCTTGGCCACCTCTGATTTCTTCTTCTAGATCAGGGCTGTCCAAAAGAAATAAAATGTGAGCCACATGTGTAATTTTAAATTTCTAGTAGCCACATTTAAAAAGTAAAAAGAAGCATGTGAAATTAAATTTTATAATATTTTATTTGATGCCATATACCTAAAATATTATCATTTCAACATGTACTCAATATAAAAATTTACTACTAATGAGCTACTTTTCTTTCTTTTTTTAATTTTACTAAGTCTTCAAAATCTGATCATTTACCCACTTGGAGCACATCTCCATTTGGATTAGCCACACTTCAAGCACTCAATAGCTACATGCGGTAAGTGACCCCCAATTTGAACAACACAGTTCCAGATCAGGGGTCAGTAAATGAGAACCAGCATGCGCTAAGAATAGTTTTAACATTTTTAATTCATTGGGGGAAAAAATCAAAAGAAGAATATTTTATGGCATGTGAAAATTATAGGAAACTTTCATTTCTGTGTCTATAAATAAAATTTCACTGGATCACAGCCACATTCACTTACATATTGTCGATGGCTGCTTCCTACTACAGTAGCAAAGCTGACTAGTTATGACAGAGACATATGGCCCACAGAGCCTAAAATATTACTATCTGACCGTCTCTAGGAAAAAAATCTTGCTGATCCCTGTTCTAGTGGATCATGAGACTTAGAAGTGATGGTGCTGTATGAGATATGTGGACCCTGAGCCACTAAGATGTAAACAAACTACCTTCCAGAATTTCTGTTGCCTGAATGAGACACAGTGTCAAAAAGTGACACAAATCAAATGAAAAAGCTCATGCATAACCTCAAAACAGCCATTCAAATTAAAACTAATAGTCAGATCCTATACTAATAGATGAGATCCTATTCTTAGCTTTCCTTCCTCTCCATCCACCAACAAAATAGTCGGGCCATGATGTTTCTATCTATGTATGTGTAACTGTTATACAAATGTGACGCCTGCAAGAAGAGGATTTGCCCGAGTCAAACAGACTGTCTTTACCAAAGCCAATCAAATGAAAAATATGGGAAATAACTGTTATGTTAAAAAAAATTACAAAAATTAAAATATGTTAACATCACAACAAAGTAGAAAAACAAGAAAATTATGCATAAGAGAGACCACATCATGGGACTCTAGGTGATCTGTTTCCTATATTTTTCTTTACAATGACCTTTTATATCTTTTACAAAGGAAAAAATGTATTTAGGTAGGCCTGTACGAAACACCAGGAATGTACCTTCACTAGCATTTTTACTTTAAATAACATATGTCTTGGAAATTTCTCTTATCTCTGTGGAAAGGAACAAATATTTTTTTCTTTCAAAATAAATTGAAGAACTCTTACCATATTCTGAAACCTGAAATGATTGATAATATGTCTGGTCCTATTAGGAGGAAGAAACAAAAGACAAGAAAACATATGAGTTCTTATTTAACTATTTTTGCTTGCTTACTTACCTACATAAAAAGATTTAGGCAATTATTTTTATTGCATTTATAACGATTTAATGAGCAAAACAGTTAATTTTAACTTGTGGAAGTTTATTTTTAGTCATCTGCGACATGAAGCCTATGAGATTTCATGAGTTTTTCTTGTCAATTCACTAACATAAAAAGGTGACCTGTCTCTATATTTCACCGCATATCATGTGAACAAACTGCTTAATTTGACTTCCATTATTTGTGAAATGAAAACTAGATTAGATAGTTCAGAAATTTATGAAGCAAAAATAAAACGTGTCAAACCATGACTTCAAATTTGTTTTGAATATCACTCTCAAAAAAAACCAATGGAGAAAATAAAGTTATACATAATTCAAGTATTTATACATAATCAAAAATACAAAATCATCTTGGACGAGCATCTTCTACCTTCCATTTTCTTGTGCAAACCTTAAAACAATACAATACATTCTACCTTATTTTAACAAATATTGTTAATTATTTCTTTTTCCAAGATCAGTAAGAAAATATGTGGCCTATAATTATATCAATTTTCTAATTCCCCATATTTCTGTCCACCCTAAATCCATAAATAACATATTAAATAGAACCTCTTTGAAATCGCTAAGTAGTTCCACTAATAAAATTTGTATTCTAAATCTGATTCCCTATGTTTATCAAAGCAAATACACAGATGCAACTACAAAATATTAGTTTTTTTAAAATCATCCTTTGTTAATCTAAATCAACTGTACAAGTTGTTTTTTAATCCTAAAAGAAGGATAGAATTCATTTCAAAGTATAAAACAAATGTAACCACTTACATGCCAACAAAATAATTGTCTAAAACTTGACCTTAATGATGTCATTTAAAGTAGATCCCAAAGAAATTGTGCTGATCAAAGTCTTAAGAATCTACACATTTGTGGCTTCTATCTTAAATTGTTTTCATGTCCTATATAGGAATGTTACGAATTACATGCTTTCAGTTCATTTATAAATTCTAATTTGTCATCCTCAAAAATCAAATCAAGAAGGTAATCGACCTGTATTGCTTATTTTACTTATAAACATCAGAATTCTAGTCATTAAATTAGTTTTTGCTTTATTCCTGAAGCCAGCACAGGTGATGCTATAGAATAAGTAATTTCATGACAAAGGTGATGTCTCCGTCAAGTTAAACTCATATTGCAAACACTCAGTGAGCACTACAGACAAAACACCATATGAGGCTCTGTAAAGGTAAATTACAGTCTTCAGCATAGGAGGGTCAGTCAGGAGATGGAGACATAGTGAAGAGTAATAATGCATGACTAACAGTGTCCTGCAGTTTCATGCACTGTGCATGTAGATGTTGGGCTGGATTGGGCCTTTAGGCTGTAGTTTGCTGAAACCTGATCTAAAAAATAAAATGTATTTCCAAATTGTTCTATGTTAACTCTAGCTGAACTAAATTGACTAACCTTAACTAAAACCATGGAGAAGAAAGAAAAAGAAAAAAACACACACACACAGTGCTTTTGTAGGAAGCACAATTTCATTTGCTAAACAATTTTCCTTCAGTTCCACAGAAACAATTGGCCTCAAAATGAGTTTTCATGATTATTCTAGCTCATCAAATACAGTTTGTGCTCATTCCCTCTGCCAGCAACTGAAGAGGAAGGCTGACCTGAAAGAGTAAATACTTGAGCAGCATGTCTTTTAAGCCAACATCTTTCCAGGTGCAAGAATACATGACTCATCAACATCTTCTGAGTTCTGCTTGTCCCAAGTGGTCACTCTTCCACGGGGAAAGCGCTCCCTTACAAAGCCTGCTCTTAGCACATACATTTCCTCTTCATTCGTGTGAGATGGAAGCCTGTCTCAATTAGACTTTCAAAACAAATTCTAAAGGAGAAATGGAAAAGACGAACCAGGAGGTATTCTCAGTAATCTCCGTAATTTCTTTATTCCCCTTATCCCTAAACCAATAGTTCATTGTGACGGTATATGTTACAAACATCAATCAAATGAAAGAGAAAAGAGAAAATACACTACTTTGACTAGTTCCTAAAAAATATGCTATGACTGGATGCAAATTAAAGACATGTGAATTGCTAAAAACATCTATTCCAGTTACAGAATTTCTCTTCTCTAACCACGAAGCCATCCAACTCTTGAGAGAATTTCTTTTTTTTTTTTTTGAGAATTTCTATTTTTAATAAACTTGAAGGACTATGGCACACTACATGACCACTTAAAATATATATATTGTAAAATGCAGGTCAGCTTCTTTTAACTCTTGCTCCTGGAGTAAAAAGAAATGCCAGAAACAGAACTAAGGTGCTGGGTGGATTTTTGCTTACACATTTATGTTCATTCATGATCGTTTCAATTTCCCAGAAGTCTGCTTCAGCACTGATCTCCAGTGTCTGGATTTAATTTGTATTTAAAGATTAAGAAAGGCAGGGCGCCTGGGTGGCTCAGATGGTTAAGCATCTGCCTTCGGCTCAGGTCATGATCCTGGGGTCCTGGCATCGAGTCCTGCATCGGGCTCCCTGCTAGGCAGGGAGCCTGCTTCTCCCTCTGCCTCTGCCTCTCTCTCTCTCTCTCTCTGGCTCTCATGAATAAATATATAAAACATTTAAAATAAATAAATAAATAAAGATTAAGAAAGGCACTGAACTTTTTAAATCCACACATAACAAATACGGAATTATTTCAGACTCAGTTTTGGCTCTGTCCCCCAAGACAGTAGATGCCCACTACATTCACATTCCCAAGCCAGGTGTAAGTCTAGCACACAGGACTTACAAAGGAGGTTTCCAAAAACTAGCTTTGCAATCTTAACCAAAAAGGTCAAGATGGAAATAAACTAGAAAGGAATTTTAGGAGAAAGCTTTTGACGTGCTTTCACACATCAGTGACTTTAGGCAGGCACTTGACATGCCTGAACAATGTAAGAGCAAAATACTGGTATTGGCCAGGTGTCAGACAGCTAAGCTAAGACACAGTGCTGCATTGGGAGTGGTCTGTGCCTACTCAGTTGCAAGAAGCAAAGGAAGGATAAGCATTTTCCCTCAACTACATATGCAAGAGAGAGCCGGCATGCGGCTGTCTTCTATCCTGATCAAAAATAGCCTCCAGAAGGGGAGCACGTCTGGAGGGGGAAGTTGGAGTTAACTGTAGATGCCCAGGTGCTGAAGACAAAGTTAAGAGTTGCCAGAGGAGGAGACAGATTCAAAAGCATCAAAGACACTGAATGTGAATCCTCCCAGCAATGGTAGCAGTGCTCCAAAGAACCCACCGAAGAGTTTTAAGAAGGAAAGCTATTAGTTTTAAATGCCTGCCAAGCCCAGAGAGCTCTAATGCCAGATGACAACAGTATTACCCTGAACCATATTTTTCTGCAATTTTTTATTTAAATTCTGGTTAGTTAACATACAGTGTAATAGTGGTCTCAGCAGTAGAATTCAGTGATTCATCACTTACATACAACACCCAGTGCTCCTCACAAGTGCCCTCTTTACTACGCGTCACCCATCTAGCCCATCCCCCCATCACATCCCTCCAGCCCACCCTCAGTTTGTTCTCTGTCATTAAGACTCTCTCATGGTTTGTTTCCCTCTCTCTTCCCCCCTCTTCCCATATGTTCATCTGTTTTGTTTCTTAAATTCAACTGGTGTCTTTCTCTGACTGACGTATCTCGCTTAGCATAATATGCTCTAGCTCCATCCACATCGTTGCAAATCATTAAGATTTCATTCTTTTTTTTTTTTGAAGATTTATTTATTTATTTATTTGACACACACACACAGAGAGAGAGAGCACAAGCAAGGGGAGCGGCAGGCAGAGGGAGAGGGAGAAGCAGGCTCTTTGCTGAGTAGCCTGATGTGGGGCTCGATCCCAGGACCCTGGGATCATGACCTGAGCCAAAGGCAGCCGCTCAACCGACTGAGCCACCCAGGCGCCCCAAGATTTCATTCTTTTTGATGGCTGAGTAATACACACAAACACATACATATATATATGTATATAAATAACCACATCTTCTGTATCCATTCACTAGCAGATGGACATTTTGGGCTCTTTCCATAGTTTCCCTATTGTTGATAATGCTGCTCTAAACACTGGGGTGCATGTATCCTTTTGAATCTGTATTTTTGTATCTTTTGGGTAAATACCTCGTAGTGCAATTGCTGGATCAGAAGGTAGTTCTACTTTTTTTTTAAGATTTTATTTACTTATATGACAGAGAGACAGCGAGAGAAGGAACACAAGCAGGGGGAGTGGGAGAGGGAGAAGCAGGCTTCCTGCGGAGCAGGGAGCCCGATGCAGGGCTTGATCTCAAGACCCTGGGATCATGACCCAAGCCAAAGGCAGACACTTAAAGACTGAGCCACCCAGGTGCCCCGAGGTAGTTCTGTTTTTAACTTTTTGAGGAAGCTCCATACAGTTCTCCAGAGTGGCTGCACCAGTTTGCATTCCCACCAACAATGTAAGAGGGTTCCCCTTTATCCACATCCTCACCAGCATCTGTTGTGTCCTATGTTGTTAATTTTAGTCATTCTGACTGGTGCGAGGTAGTATCTTATCGTGGCTTTGATTTGTTATTTCCCTGATGATGAGAGATATTGAGCATCTTTTCATGTGTCTGTTGGCCATCTGGATGTCTTCTTTGGAAAAACATCTATTCATGTCTTCTGCCCATTTCTTGACTGGATTATTTGTTTTTGGGGTGTTAAGTTGGATAAATTCTTTATAGATTTTGGATACTAACCCTTTATCAGATATGTCATTTGCAAATATCTTCTCCCATTCTGTAGGCTCCTTATAGTTTTGTTGACTGTTTCCTTCTCTGTGAAGCTTTTTATCTTGATGAAGTCCCAAGAGTTTATTTTTGCTTTTGTTTCCCTTGCCTCTGGCGACGTGTCTAGTAAGAAGTTGCTATGGCCAAGGTCAC